CTTTTGATCTACTTTCTAGAAATATCTCTACAACTTCAAACAATTATTGAATCACATGAGACCAGTACCAAATATCACTTGATAATTCATAAAAGAATACTCACAACTACGTTTGAAGTATAGGATTTGATGGTTGTATTTGATTGATGGTGGTTACTGAGAATTCTGATTCTCCAAAGTATCGTAATAATTAATAATTCTGGCTTCCTGAGCATTCAGATTTAGTTTTGTTTCTAATATTGGTAGATATTTGTCCATAGAAACTTCATGAGCAAACTGGTGACTGAGGCTTTGATAAACAAAGTGCAGTAAGAAAGTCCTAATCTAACGAGCGTGAGAAATTTGCATAGACTGTATAAATCAGGGCAAAATGTGTATCATTTTACTAGTTATTTTTTCTTTATGTAATATAGTATGTTTGAAACACACACACACATAACATTGCTAGCAGAGAAGCATAGTGATTCGGGCTCATTGGTGAAAGTATTTTTGCTGTCACCCCTGGCATTTCTGCTATATTAGTGTGTGTGTGTGTATATTGGCATGTTTTACAGCTGACGACATGAAATTTGATCTGCATAGATAATTATGGTCTATAAGAGTAAGGGTTATTTCTGCTTATTTATGTTCATGATTACTTTTATTTTCATGACATCATTTGAGTTAAGGTATTCTGAAGACTGTATGTTCACTTTAGCATATATTAAATATAACGTGACACTGAAATTATTTGCTTTGGTTATTAGGGTTACTACTGAACAGTATGTTATCTAATAAGAGTATGCCTTAGTTAATAAATTACATTAATATGTGTTATATAGTAGAGAACAAAAGTGTATTGGTAATCTATGCCACAAAGTGTGAAACACTGTGGACCTATTATTTAATTGATATTGAGGAAGTAATATTTTCAAATGAGACAATGGTATTGTACGCACATTTTATGACTTTGTAAAGGGAAAACATCATTACTTGTTTACTCAGAACGAATGTAAACGTAGAATATCCACTGTTACCTAGCATTTTTGTTTTAGAAATACGTTTGATTTATAAAACTGAAATATTTCTGAGCTTTATGGATATAGATAATAAACAAAAATTAAAAAATAAGGATGATGTAGGGATGGCAATGGCAAAAAGTACAGAACCAAGATAGGGATGAATCATACAAAAATTCATACATAAGTAGCCAATTGTTACCGAGAAAAAATTTAATCTACAACTAAATGTTGAACCTAGCAAATGTAATGGAGAATTTCAGCCAATTATTATGATTTTCATGTGTTAGCAACACCAAGCTTGGGGCACGCTTATACCCGATTCGATTTTATTACTCATCACGATCTCTACCAGTCTACCCTCAAATCTAATCTAACTATTATTTACTCAATGTTATCGGCGTGACAGAAGCACAGGAGAATTTTGACCACACCATGTTACTTCTGGCGAACGTTGGTGTCACCATGCCAAGTTGGATAGAGATTGGATAAATACTGTGCTAGGAGTTAGTGGATAGACATACAACAAATTTCGCTTTTATATATATATAGATTAAAAACGTCGTCCACTAACTTACCGTCTGTGACAACGAAAAATAACACAGTAAGGTGACTAATTTTTGTTGTTGTTGGTTTAATATACACTCCTTACAATATTCTGAAGCGAAATTTCGGGCAAATATGCACTACAGTTAGCTCTATGACTAAACAGTGCTCCATAATTAATTATGTAGAGTATTATAATGGTTCACCATTGGTAACCTCTGAACACGGTAGTTAAAGAACAAAGGTTATTGTAATAGAAAAGCATTAGTAGTCCCTGAATTTAATCGTTGATTAAACAAAGTATTTTAATAACTTTTTGTTTCTGGACTTTGAACTGAACATAATAAGAAACTAACGTTTCAGTCATTTTTATCGCACAGAACCTGAAAATACAAGAATAGCATTTTTCTGTTTTATTCCGAAAGTTTTCCTTTACATTTACATGCAGATGATAAATGGTAGCACGTTGTTCAACAGCTCTCTGTAGAAAAGAGATTTGTATTAAACCTATCAGTCAGCACGTAAACTTTAGATAAAGTTCAGTCTAACTTCATTTCCACGTTAATTTGTTTCGAAGACCAGGACTCACTTTCTACCTATAGTAATGATGCATGTACACGCACGATTGCTTGGCTCGTCTATCATCAGCAGTAAGAAGAAAAGGACATTATTGATTCTTTGTAAAAAATTTTCACTTTCTTGCGTGTGGGTCAAAAAATGACAAAGCTCTTGAATGGATTCTTATGAATATCTTTCCAGAAGATTTTCCGAAATTAAAATTTAACCTGGAATCTAGTAAACAAAATGTGTTACGTCATTTACGACATTTCAAACATTGAAATTAATTATTCTATATACTGAATTTGAACATTAATTTAAACACGTTTTTAACATTTCAACCACAATATTGTTAAACCTAAAAAATTCTGAGAATTATTTTAATGAATGTTCATAGAATAGAAAACTTTAATTTACTTTCGACGAATTTCACAGGGATTTTTCATAATAACCACAGTTTATACATTAAGAATTTATAACACACAAAAGTAGATACACACAATGAATCACGAAAACTTCTCTTATCCTGTTAGCAATGCATGCTCGACAGTACTGTTACGTCTCTAGTCGCTTGTTAATTTCCCGTAAAAATTCTTTCCGAAGAACTTCAGCGATACACTTAATCTCCACACTTTAACTTAAACACACGCTATAATTCACAACCATTTACACACTTTACTTACAGCTTGACTCGATTATCCCCCTCGTTATCAATTTATCTGCCGGCTTATATACTAAAATAGAGGGCGCGTAGAAAAGACTAGAGTTGCCAGGAACAGTCATGATCCTTCTAGAAACTCCAGAGCGCATGCTTCCAGCGTCACGTGACTTCCGCTGTCATAACAGTACTATCGTATAGAATACGCACTATAAAAAGTGTTAGTAGAAACATTACTTCTGTTTTAAAGATAGAGCTTTCTACAAAAGTGTACTTAAACTTTTCCCACCCTCTAGAAAAGTACTGTGCTCAGGGAAAGACAAAATTGAGCTGGTTTTGTTAATGAACAATTTTACGTTCTTATCCGCTGATTGATTTTGGTTTTGAACAGTTAGCAATGAGTTGTGCCAATACTTTATTGTAATGTAATATTATATTATGATAATATAGTAATCTGGTAATAATGTTTCTTTTTAATTTAGAAACTCTTGTCAAATAAAACTATTATTATAGCTTATAGTAAGTATGAACAATAATATTAACGGGCTAAGGATTCGATAGAAAATTACAGAACAAAACAACGCAGGGATCGAACCCGAATTTTAACATTATAAGCCCTGAAGCATGTCGCTGAGCCACCGCAAGCAAAATCAGTTAAGAAATAACAAAAATATTTGTGTTATATTAGACGAAACTACTTAATTACTTTAAACTTATATATAATTATCATGTTACTTTATAGCTTATTAATTTGGAGTTCGATTTACTTCTTCCTTTAGATTTTTAATTTTTTTTTTTTTTTAGATTGGAAAACAAAAACGAAAGCATATAATCAAACGTATAATCAAATGGTAATAATATTGCTATATAATACTTTATAAAATTGTATCTGTTCATTTTAATCCTTTTCGTAATTAACTATTTACAACGACATTTATTTTTAACCTAAGTTCATTTTTTGCTCCTTTACAGATACCAACCATAGAGACCAAGACTAATATTTTTCGGTTAATAATATTGGATCTAGCTCTGAGACCTCAATCAAAGAGAAGCCAACTGACAGGCTATGAGGCTGAACCCTTAAATAATTTTAGATTTATCATCAAACAATTTTTTTTTTCTTAAGAAAAAAAAAAAAGACAAGATATTTTGAAACCTCTCCTTTTAATAAGTTTAGATGGTACATAAAACTACAGGAAGGATTAAATCATAATCTGTTTGAAAAAGTAAGTTTGCAGACTTAATGTTGTTTATGCAATTGCTTGTAGTAGCTTTTTTCAACTGAATTTAAAATATAACTTTATCGTCTGTTTTATTAAAATATTGATATTTCGAAGGTATAAATATTGTTTCAATATAGTTTACGCTAAACAAGCTTTACTAAATATATACACGAAAGTACAAAAGGATCAAAGTGAGATATGCTTTTTAAGTAAAATATAAGTCCCCTTGGACATTCGTATATATATATTAAGTAAATAAGCTTTATTCAATATATATACGAATGTACAAAAGGATCAAAGTGAGATATGCTTTTTAAGTAAAATATAAGTCCCTTTGGACATTCGTATATAAATATTAAGTACATAAGCTTTATTCAATTAATGTATGAATGTACAAAATGCCTTTTAAGTAAAATATTAGTGTTTTTATTAAGGTTTCTCATTTAAATTGTCAGAAAGATAATGTGAAATGTTACATTTAACAAAAAATTTGTTCACAAAACGGTTTATCTCATTAATATTTTTTTACACCAAACTTCAACTGTATGGTATTAAATAAATATGACAGCTCCGTCAGTTTACAGGTTTCGTTGATTTATTATTGCTATTCTTCTAGTAGTAGTAGTAGTATTACAAATTAACGCAACAATCTTTGGACCATCATTAACATATATATATATAAAACCTTTGTGAAAACTAAAGGGTATTCGCTTCTTTGATTCTTTTACGAGATACTCTCAGATATGCATCAAGAATGTAATAGAAATTAAAATGTAGAACAAAAAATAGTAACCTTGGTGTCTCCTAACCATGAAATCTTGTAAATATTAACATTTTTCGAGCATCAATTACAAATGAACTTAAGGATGCTAACAGATCTTTATTTCAAATAGTGTTTGATGTGGTAACTTGAAATTTATTCGAATTATATGATCGATAACAACAATTTTTCAAAGCTGTATAATAATTGATTACCCAGAAGGAAAGCCGGAGATTCAAATGTTTGTAACTACTTACCATGTATGTCTAGTTTCACCCATTTGCTCATTCTTGTTGATGTGGCATTACTATTGACAAAACACACCAATTTGGCATCTAGGTCCCAGCGTGACAGTGTAATTCGCACAATAGACACCACGTCGACGCCACCTTGATCGCCTGGTGTGTGAACGGCTTTCGTTACCAAGGGATACGTCCCATTCCTCCATGTCACTTCCGGTGCAGGTTTACCTCCGGACGACTTACACTTCACAATGATGGTGCTTCCTTCGAGAAACGCACCGATCGTAGTCCCATTTTCAACAACCTTGTTATCAACTGTTATCACAGGTTCCGAAGGAATAACTAAGAAAGAGAAGAATAAAAGAAAGATGAAGCTGAATTTGTAACTCTTATCGATCAATAACAGGTCGAAGACAAAACTTATCTGCAGGAAAACTATTTTTCAACTAAAGCAGTAGTTTTATATGTATTATTTGAAATACAATAAATGCTATTTTTAGAATAAAAATGCACGCTATTTTGTATCTTAAAGCTTATAAATCTGATGCTTATTTTAAACTTAGTTACACTGATTATGTCACATCATTAATAAACATTCAGATAGACAAGGATATAAATTATTCTATAAATATCTGAAACCCCCCCCCCCCAAAAAAAAACCCAACTTGAAACTTAACTGAAATTCAGACAGTGACTATACTGAATGATACAACACAATGATATTATATGCCATATTTTTTAACTAGTATTTAATTCTGGTTGCCCAGTTTTACTAAAATGAAACGATACCTCAAAAATTAATTTCTGTATTTTGCGTAGGGTTTTTGTTATAAATGTAACAGGAAATTGCAAGAAAAGATGAACCAAAGTTAAGTACAAGATATTTTTAGTGTCCAGATAAAATTCTTTTTTAGTTAGTGGTTCCAGGAAATAAAAATATATATGTTATAACCATAGAAACTTGATTACATTCGTGTAGATAAGTTACGATTTTAAAAATTCAAGTTTTAAACATTAATAAGTTTTCCAACTGTTCTAGGGTCAATTGTACACATTTTTTAATGTTGCTTCATTAGCAATAAGTACACACGTGTCGTAAGACGTTTTAAATTAATACGTGCACACACCTTTCTTACACGGTATTCCATTAACAGCACTAGTACACTTGTATTGTTGCAGCTTATCTTCCTTATGTGGTATCCCATTCATATTGTCTTTTTTTTTGTCATTAACAGAGTCCCATCTATTATATTATTGTTTGTGCGTTTGAAAAAAAACACACATACACACATCTGTCCTCTTGATGTGATTAATTTTAAAAAGAAAAAACTGTGTTCTCTTTTGTTTAATTTACAAAATAAGCGTTTCCCCCCCTTTTTTATTACGCTTTTTTTCTAAAAGATTAGAGATTATTGAAACAACACAAGGTGATTAAGAAAAATTCCAAGAAGATAAATATTAAAAAATCGCCACTAAGTAAAGACTAACCACAGAACTTTATGTTACCATGTTAAGCTTAATGGACTGAGTTTATAATTGTAAAATCCTAATTGTTCATGGGACAGTTTTAGGCTTAAGAAGTAGATACCCTTATAGATCACCTAATGTATTTCACTCATCGAGTTTTTAACTATTTAAGTTTAGTATGCCCTATTAAAGTGGGAGCCTCAGAGAGAAAACCGAGTATCGAGACGGGAATAATTACAGTTTGTAATAGTTTTTTTTTAAGTATTTACCAAACGATGATGCCAATTTTTCCGAGATAAAATGTAATATTAGATTAACAAGCCAACTGACAATATTGGAATACTTATTATACGAGTGGTGTGTTATTTTTTATTCAAACAGCAATCTTCAGTCGTAGCAACATACTTTTCAATGTTTAGATTAACAATACTGATAAAATTTAAAAAATCCGACTATAATGACAGCAATGCAAAAGCAAACCAACAAAGAAATGCCTAAAACAATATAGAATTAATGTATACTTTTTTCACATAAATTATAGCACAGGATATAATGCCCTTCTTGAAATGAGTGTGCGCATAGATTGTAATATCAATTACACGTGCATGGCCCGAGCATCTGGTTAATCAGAGAATTTAATGTTGAATCATTCTTCATTTTCTGAGTTATTTATCACGTGTAATATAACAAAAATCACGAAATTCGCAAGTGCGTGGAATTTGCCCAATTTCACTAAAAGCAAATATCAGTGATAATTTATAAAGCTAAACCTAATTGTCTATTCAGATATTAGGTGTGTTTTCGATACGAACATATGATAACTTAAATTTTTTTACCAGTCCAGACACTTAAAGTACTTGAACATAAACGAATATTGCGTTTATTTTTAACTTATAGACATTTAGCCTGTTTTGCTTCAAAAATTCTACCTACGTTTAAACAGATTGAATTTATACAATTAAACGATAGCCGATTTTTTCACTAGTTTTCAAACACGACTTTTACCTTACCAGTTTCTGATCTTCTGTGAGAAAAATTTTCAAGGAAAATACATCTAGATAGACAGACAGAAGGTTTGTTTGTTTGGAATTAAGCACAAAGCTACACTATGGGCTATCTGCGCTCTGCCCACCACAGGTATCGAAACGATACTTTTTAACACACGTATTAATATTTCATATAGCTCAGACAATGTTTATTATAACATGTATATATTTGTCCATTGCCAGTCCTTATCTAGAACTATTTACTTATATATATATATATATACAACAAACATTTATTAGCTATTAATAAATACGAATAATATTCATTATTTACAGAATATTTGAAAACAAACATTTCTGCTTACTCTAAATTTGCAGTAAATACACAAATTTACTGAGCTGGTGCATGTTGTTGATTAAAGAACGAATTACAGAAAAATGAGTTGATAATGAAATGTAATTTAAGTGTTGTATATATATATATATTAAGGTACTATAGATGAAAAACTTTCGAATAGTAATCCACCACTGTTATGTGGGTATAATCGTTGCATTTGAATATTTTCCCAGATAATAACTAGGAGTTGTAAAACGTATCCTGTAAAGATGGAGATTTGAGATTATTGAACGTATAATTAGATCATGTTGGGTTACGACACTGTATGATAGCCAGATACAGCTAAATAAAACGTTTTGGTATCTAAAATAGGTACATATTCTCAATTTTCATTTTACTGCCTTGTACGTTGTGTTTGTTGGATGGTTTACATTACGTGCCGTAATTCGTTTGGAACATGTGTGTATGTGTTTTTTTTTGTTTTTTTTTCTTATAGCAAAGCCACATCGGGTTATCGACGGTGTCCAGCAATGGGGATCGAACCCCTGATTTTTGCGTTGTAAATCCGAAGACGGTTGGAACATAAAAAATATATATAAAGTCATTGATGTAGGCCTACTGCAGTGATTAAACTATTAAAATGTCATTCTTTCTAAAGCGCTTTATGCTTCCCTGCAGCTCACAGTCAATAACCCCAAAATAACAGATAAAGTTCCAAAGAAAACTTTAAAAAATTCCAATGATGTTTAATATGAATAATATATTCCCCAGTATCGCGATCTTCCCTTTAAGAGAGTTTGTTTTCAATTTCGTGCAAAGCTACACGAGGGCTATCTGCGCTAGCCATCGCTAATTTAGCAGTGTAAGACTAGAGGGAAGGCAGCTAGTCACCACCACCCACAGCCAACTCTTGATCTAATCTTTTACAAACGAATAGTGGGATTGACCGTCACATTATAACGCCCCCGCGGCTGAAAGGACGAGCATGTTTGGTGGGACGGGGATTTGAACCCGCGACCCTCAGATTATGAGTCGAGTGCCCTAACCACCTGGCCATACCGGAACCTTCCCTTTAAGAGTAAACTATATATAAACTTAATCATACAAGACAGAGTAAACTCTCTTTTGAAAATAGATTTACAGATCGTATGATGGCGAACATCAATCTGACAGATTCATGTTTCTATCCTTGTAGAGTCGTAAGAAAGAGAATTTATAAATTAATCTCAAAGATATATTTTCAGAGCTGGGTAATTATTTTCCCATATTTTTTCCCCTTTATACGCTAATGGTTAGCGTGTCGGACTGTCGATCAAGAGTTCCATGTTATATGTTCCGTAAAAAAAAGAAAAATCTAAAAAACTCAAACTCAGCGCTTTGGGGTCGCGGATTTTTAATAAGAATGATGGTCTAAGCCCACTATTCAATTAGAGTAGCTGAATAGTTGGCGGTGGGTGTTGTTGATCAACTATCTTCCTTCTGGTCTATCAGCTCATATGGCTAGCGCACATATCTTTGAGTAGCCATGAACAAAAAACAATACATAATAACTTTCATTTACCTGTTTGTCTAGTTTTAAAGAACATTTTATTTTGTTTACTGTTAAAAACTAATAATTAGAGCTCCAGACCCTTTTCATTCCATATTCTGACAAAATTATTTGTTTGTTAGTAACTGAGCACAAAGCTAGACAATGGGCTATCTGTGCTCTGCCCACCAAGGGTATCAAAACCCGGATTCCGCAGACATACCGCTGTGCCACTGGGGGGGGGGGGCATTCTGACAAGAACAATATATATATATACACACACACATACATATATAAATATATGTGTGCGTGTGCGCGCGCGCGCGCAGTAGTATAATTCGCTGATAAGTAAAATAGAATTAAAATAGAAATTTGTAGACTAATCGAAACTAAGTGGTAGACGAAAATATTTCCGATATAGTACTGATATACAAGTTATTAAATCAAAATAGGCACCATGATATGTCCGATATAGTACTGATATACAACTTATTAAATCAAATAGGCACCATGATATGTCCGATATAGTACTGACTATACAAGTTATTAAATCAAAATAGGCACCATGATATGTCCGATATAGTACTGACATACAAGTTATTAAATCAAAATAGGCACCATGATATGTCCGATATAGTATTTTCAGTGTATAACTATTGTACCAAGTATTATTTGTAGTAGACCAGGACAATACTTTTAGATTTTATTAATTGTTAATTCATAAAATTCTAGAAATAATGTTTCTTAAGGTTTAAGTTATTTTTAATAAGCAAGTTTACAAAAGTGCAATTATTAAAGATTTTGATTTGTAGTTCAACGAATAAATATTCACACAGACATAACAAATTACCTTTGAAGAAATTTCAATATGTTCATGAAAAAATATTAATAATTGAGTTGTTTATCAACCGCTCACTGTTTAAGACCAGTAAATTTCAATTACGAATTAATGAAGTTGTATTAGACCATCGGTTTTCCTCAAACTAAAAATTTACTTATGATTGTGTTAAGAATAACCTTCAGG